CTGGCAGGCAGAGACAATAAGTAGGAAGAAGGGAGAGGGGACAACAGGAAGGAGAAAGAGAGGGAGACGCCCAAGGCCAGCCAGCCAGGCAGCCGCCAGCCAGTCAGACATGGAGTAGAACATACAGACTGAAAGAAAGGTAAAAGTCCTAGGGCAAAATGTAGATGAAGAAAAACATGTTGATATAGATTATAAGAGTTAGTGGAACAAGCATAAGCTAAGGCTGAGCATTAATTACTAATAATAAGCATCTATGTCATGATTTAGGGGCTGGAGGTCCAAAGAGGCATGCTACAGTTTGTGTTCTGCTTTCAACCAGGCCCAGATTTTACTTTCACTTGGGAACAACCCTGGTTGTTTTCTGAAACTGGAAAAGGATAGGGAAAGTGTCTGCTCTTCCCTGAAAATAGACTGTAATCTCCCAGAAGGAAACAAGGGAAACCCTACACAACACCTTCACCACAGAGGTGGTTTCCAGGCACTAGCAAAGGAAAAGGAAATTCAATCAGAGCCCAAGGGTCTTCCTGAGTTAGAGAAAACAATCTGGAGGCCAAAGAGGAAAAAAGGAGCTGGGAGTCACAACACAAATTCCTGGAAGTCTCCAGAACTGTCTCCTCTAGTCATTGGCCACACACTTCTTGGTGTGCACATCAGAGTCTCCGGAAGGATCTATGGGAATGACTGAGCAGAAACTGAGTCAACAAAGAACTGCAGACAGTGTATGTTTTCCACGACCAAAGTGAGAAGAGCTCACACAAGGCACTGAGAAGGCTTTGCCTTAACATACCAAGTCACTGCTAGGACAAAGACTGCTCTGGACCATACTTTCAAAGCACACACTGGTTCCAAGTAGAGAGGCAAGGAAAGGTGAACCCAGCATCCCACACAGAGCTCATATCATGCTCCAAGGCAAGTACTAGGGCAGTAACTACACTATACAGCAAGAGTCACAATTAAGAGGACCTTGCCCAACACAGAACCCAGAAATGAAGATATAAGAAGAAACAGATAAAATCGTCAAATATTTCTAATAAACATACTCTAGATGTTTGAGGAGGCACAAGGGCACTGTCCCAGGGAAGAGAAAAATGGGAGGCATTAAAAAAAAAAAATGGAACTTCTGAAATGTAAAATAGTGTCTGCAATGAAAGATGTTAACAGGAGATCAGGCAATGTAAAAGAAAAGATTAACAATGGGAAGACAGAGCAATAAAACTTTAACATGAGCAGAATGTAGAGTCAGCGGCCTGTGGAACAGTATCAAGAAATATGACAGACATTCTGCAGTTCAGATTATGAAAGAGACAGAACATAAAACACATTTAAAGGCTAACACCTAAAAGAATCTCCAGTTTAATACAAACTATGAAGCCACAGATTCAAAAAGCCTAACAAATCGCAATCAGAATAATAACCAGGAGGATGAAGTTGGGAGCATCATGATCTACTTGCTGGAAAGCAGAGAAAAGAGAAAAACTATTTTAGTAAACAGACATTATGCTCAAAACATAAAGATGGGGATGACAGCAGACACTACAGAGCTGAAAATGACAAAAAGACATCAGTGGGAGGGCAAGGTGTCAGTCTCTAAGTCTGTACCCAGAGAAGCATCTTGCAAAATTGAAGGCAAAGCCAAAATCTTAGTGAAGGCATCACCACCAGCAGCAGCAGCAGCAGCAGCAGCAGCAGCAGCAGCAGCCGCAGCAGCAGCGATGTACTCACCAGCAAGAAGTGCAAGGACTGTTTTGCTCGGCAAAAGAAAAATGGTATTAGAATCTGGTCTGTGTAGGGGGAAAGAAGAACTCGGAAGCAGCATCAGCCTGGGTACCTGCAACAGACAGACTTGCCTGCTTAAACAAAATGATAGTAAGACTCACAGTGTCAGTCAAATGCACAAAGTATGGCGGGGAAAAAAAGAGGGCATCTTTTTCTAACACATGTACAACACTGAAGACTGAACACTTTTACAACACTAAGGAAGGCCTGGGGTGAGCAGCAGAAATAATACAGTAGAGATATGTGTAATAAAGCATGGGAGAAATAAGATTCATAACAAACAGAAAAACCCACCTCAGTCCTAAAGAAGGCATGCAAAGAGGATGGAGCACAACAATGACAATTTGTTTTCCCTTTGAAGAACAGGTCAGACAAGCAGGGGGGATAACCTTAGTAACATTCAAATCGGATGAAGCATCAGCATCTTTAAGACACACCCTGCCACACCCACATGCACATCGGCTTTCAGAAACCCACTCTAAATATAAAGATGCCAGTAGGTTAAAGGAAGGAGAAAGAACTGACACACCATGTAGACTGTCATAGAAGGAATGCAGATGGGCTGCAATTCTCACGAATAAGGAACAGGTACACTTCATAATCTGACATAACAATATGTCTAAATTGAACATCAGAGCTTCAAAACATATGGGAAGGGAGGGAGAAAGGGAGGGAGGAGGAGAGGGGAAGGGAGAGGGAGAGAAAGAGAGAGGGGGGTGACAGCTTAAGTTAAAATTGAGGAATTCAATATTCCTCACTTGACAGAGGCAGACAGCAGTCAGTAAAGACGTGAACACCATCAACCAAACTGACCCAACTAACATTCATCAGGCAACAGTGACATATGTGACAAACACTATCAGAGCAAGCCATATATTGAACAATATATTAAACAGACTGAAATTGTATTTCTCTAACCAACAGAATTAAACTAGGTATCCATAGACCAAAGATTAGCTGGGAAACCCCATATGTCTGAAAAGTAATAAACATATTTCCAAATGATCAATGTGTCAAAGAAATCACAAGTGAGAGAGGCTGAGACAGGGTGATGAGATGCTGGGCTATATAGCAACAGTCCATCAAAAACAGAACCTAGAAATATTCTAACTGAATGCAAATGAGAATGCAACTTCCCAAAACTTGTAGGATATAGCTAAATGAAATAAAGGTTTATTAACAAGTTCATCTTAGTGTATATTCAGGCTGAACTCAATGGCTTTGGCAATTAAGTGATAAAATATGAGTAGTTGTTATTCATCATTATGTAAAAAGGAAAAATTCACCAGTGTCTATTTAGATGTTCCTTAAAAGCCAAGAACTCTATTGAACACACATAAAATTCAATCCTCAATCTACAGGGAGCATGAAGAGCCTGTACCCAAACTCCAATGTCAAACCAATCACATTGGGGCTGTGCAAGCCACTGGAGCACAAAACCTGCAGGACACACTGACCCAGGAGGCTGCAAGTGGCTGGGCCCATGGCCTGGAGATGGACAGAAATGTGGGTGCAAGCAGGGCTGGTTCCAGACAACGGCCCATCACGAGCAGAAGCAAAAAGCAGGCAGGCTAAAAGGTCAGACACCAGGTTCAGTGAGCCATAGAGATCATGAGGTGAGCAGCTTGGGATGTGATTATGTGGGGCTGGAGAAAGCCACAGGTTCAAGTCCTCTGTTAAGTCCTGTTTCAGTGTGATCTACTGTTCACTGACAACATGACAGAAGCCAATTTCCCCACTCCTGCCTGGCCCACCTCCCTGAATGAAGTGGATAAAGCCGCTGGCTGCGAGCGGGAGGCAACTGCACCATCCACATCTGGATGCGCATGCTGACACAAACGTAGCGAGAGGTGGGCTGGAGGCACCAAGAAAGAGGAGGCCACAGGTGCTGATCCAGAATAGACAAGCCAGGAAGAAGCAAATAAGACCTGAATCCAAAGCACAGAGGGCAGCTGAGAGAATTCTGACACCTGAGCAGGAGTCACAAAGAGCTGATTCGGGTGCAGAAAGTTGGATATTCCTAAAGAGACCTCAACTTGTACCTACAGAAATGCAGGGGAGTTGGGCAGTGGTGGTGCTCACCTTTAATCCAAGCACTCAGAATGCAGAGGCAGGTGGATCTCTGTGAGTTCAAGTCCAGCCTGATCTGCAGAGTGAGTTCCAGGACAACCAAGGATACATAGAGAAACACTGTCTCGGGAAAACAAACAAACAAAACAAAACAAAACAAAAAAGGTGTGGAAACATTATGTAATGGACTATTTAACCTATAACTAATACCTATTCTAGAAGTACCTGGCCTCTACTTCCCACATATGATTACATAAATGCTGTTCCATCAAACACCGAATATGAATCTTATCTCTTCATTTCTAGCATCAGTTAATTTCATGCAGATGGTGACTTGATTAGATTGCAGCTATCGGTATGATATGAATTAGGGCTCCACATAAGCACCACTGCAGGTGAATTATAGTTCACCGTGGAATACATTTTTGTGCTAAACTGGTAGAGCCAAAGAGTGAAGAATAAATAGATAGCACATAGAAGGGAAGACTCATTCCTCACTCTTCTAAAAAAAAACAAGAACAAAACAACAAATAAAAGGAAATATTTAAAAATGCAGCTAACCGAAGTCTAGTCTCTTGAACCCAACAGACATACAAACCCAGAGAAAACACTAATCTGGAATCAAGCATAATGACAAGGGCTATGTCCCGGTCTCCAGGAATATACCACCACCTAGTCCTTTGGAATTTGGCACCTAGGATAAGCAGGCTTTCTTTCATTCACCCCCAGGGAACCCCTGTCACCAGCTTGGATTTGACTCACTAAAGCAACAAACAGGAACTCAGCCTTGGTTTGAATTCACATTCTTTCCAAATACAGTAACAGTTTCCAAGTGAGACTGGATTAGGTAGGATTAGTATTCCCGTCCCTCTGGGCAAAGGTCTGTGGTGTGACCATTCTGATAGCACATGCTATCAGATAGCACATACAACTTACTCCTCAGTCACCCACAGGAGCTGGGAAATGGCAACCACTGTAGCTTTCAGCTGACACACACCTTTGCCCAGAATCAGTTTTTCAAAGCATTAGAAACACTAGCTCATGCCCTGGAAGTAACTTTTCAAGGTCTTTGCTCTGGTGTAAAAAGCAAATCTCCAAAGGCAATAAAAGAGGGTTGGGAGGGGGGACATCTGGACAGGTTCCAGAGAACTCACCCGTGCAAAGTCAAACGCGTATCTGTAAATGAGCTTAAAGTTTGTTGTATCGTTTAATAATGATCTTAAGTAATCCAAAGTAGCTCTGAGTTTTTCTGTTGTGTCACATCTAGGAAACAGAATAAAGGTAAATTACAACCTGAGTGGGTGTTTGCTTGGTTTTTTGTTTTTTTTTTTGTTTTTTTTAATTGGAGTAATATAAAAACCAAAAGAATAAAAATCCAGAAGCTGGACTGTGTCCATCATGGCCAGTTGCTTTCTGCACTTTCTAATAAATGATAAAGGCATAGAAAAGTGGATCCACAATAACCAAGCACACATTTACACACACCCCTTCACATGTACGCGCCTCTCACATGCATGTGCCTTGTGCTGTGCCACCTGAAGGCCCCGATGACATCAACCCTCATGCCAGCTCAGTGTCCTGCCAATGTTTCTCAGCCAGCAAGCACACACCCTGCACCATCTCCAGCTGCTTGGCAAAGCGCCTTTGCCAAGCTCTTTAGAGACCATTCTAGTGGTCTTTGTAGCTTATCACTCTGTCAGGTTAATTTCCCCATGGTTACCCCATGTTGCTGATGGGAACATGGCACTGTGTCCCCATGTCCTTCCAGGGCATACCATGAGGAGGCTTGCTGCATCGAGCTGTTGCCTGTTGCTGAAATGAATATGTATGGCTGAGGGGAGGGGTATGCACCAGATTCTCTGCTTATTATTTATTTCATATATGTTCATATATGGGGGGGGTGTCAAAGGTCGGCTTTAGTTGTTATTTCTCAGGTGTTCTCTCACTAGCTTGCTCTACTGAGTAAGCTAGAATGGCTGGCCAGTGAGCCCCCAGGAACCCACCTCTCTCTGTCTCCCCTGCGCTGGGATTTACAAGTGCATGCCTATGCTTGGCTTTTTATATGGGGTCTGAGGATCAAACTCAGACCCCTAATGTGATATGCAACAAATCAACTGAGCCTTCATCCTAGCCCCCGAGTGTCCATTTAAAAGTACTTTCCTGGCTTTGAAATACAAAATGCCCTGTGTGATCACATACCAAGACACCACACAGTTCAATTTTTTTTCAAGTTGCTCTTTTTCTGGTGCCTCCACATCCCCATAAGTAGACTATAAATCAACTTCCAGATCAGAAGGACTAGTGTAGTGACATGCATCATGAGTACAACACAGTGACACTCAGGTTCATCAGTGAAAGGCCTTGAACCTTCTACTAGTGCTCTCTCCTACAGACCCTAATGAGCGCACCCAGCCTCTGTCATCTCCTAGAGCAGCATGTGCAGTAGTGCTCATCTATACACAGCATCATCTATACACAGCAGTTTTACACCCTCACTGGGGTCACACCCAAAGGTGCAATGCAACCGTTCCTAAGCTGTCACCCTCTGTGAGGAGCTCCAGGCAACACTGTCCTCTCTGTGACTTGGTTTCTTTTAGTTCAGCATGTTCTATCTGCTGCTGTCTTTATTCTCTGCAATGCACAAACTGTCCCTGAACCCGTCTGCATCCTTCCGACATGTCCCCACCAATCTCTGACCATGTCCTTGCTCTATGTCCCCTCCAATCTCTGAGCACATCCTTGCTCTCTGGCACAGAATGTTCCAGAGTCCCCATTTTGTTCTTTCTCTGCTCCAGACTTGAAACCAGCTGTTTCTCCAGGGAGCCCTGATGATGACAAAGTGTTTTTACCAGTGACAGTGTTTACTTTTGATAAGGAAGCACACTAATTAGTTATTTTTATAAATTTACTTTCTGTTTGCAACACATAAGCCTTAAAGATGAGAACCAGGCCAACAAGATGGCTGGGGATGGGGATGGGAGTGTGGACCACTGTTGCACAAGTCTGCTGACCCAAGTTCTATCCCTAGGACTCAATGGACTTTGTAATATTGGTGAAATGTGCTGAACTGTAATATTGCAATATTGGTGAACTGTGCTGTACTGTAATATTGTTATATTGGTGAACTATGCTGTACTGTTTGAACCCATTGGGAAGCTGGCTCTGGAAAAGGGGTTGACTGCCCTCTGGTCCCAGCCCCCACTCAAACACACTTATGTCAAGTGTCATGCTTATCAGGGGATGGGCTGCCCATCCCCAACTGTGACAAGAATTAAAGAGAACAACAGAAAAGCACAAGTATAAAAAACAAGGTGGTTTTGAAAACTGCTCAATGGCAAAGCATTTCCTTCCACCTGGGGATACCACGGTTTACCCTACAAATATAACGGTGCCTAAACTGCCTAAACAGAGTGAAAGGAGGTGGCAGGGGAGAAAAACCGGACGTTCAGCTGGGACATTCAAGGGGGGGGGGCATTCCAGCTGACTGCCTCAACTTCTGCAGTCTGTTCCGAGAAGAGTTGGTGAGCAACAATCTGATGGTGTCTCTGTTTGTTCTTTTCCTTGGAAGCCCATTGGAGGGGCCAATGCCTGGACCACCCAATCAGGAACTCTAGCAGACGCCTTAGTGGAGCTTCCTAGTCAATGTTGCTGGATTGCTGCAAGCCCCTGACCTAACCTACTGTTTTTGTTTATGAAGTCTCACACAAGGGGACTCCTCTGCCTGAAATTTTCTATCAGGAATCCTGCAGGCTGCTTTAAAAGGGCTTCCCTATCAATTCCACTGGATGTTTTGCGCACCCAATTTGCTGATGTTTGTTACTTATTATATATTCTTTTACTTTCATTTGCTATAATATACTTAATAAACTCACTCATTCAAAACCAAAAGAATGGTACCACAGCTCATTCTCCTGACCATCTAGAACAGACATCCGCATGCACAATAATCCCATGAACCCATGTGCCCACACACAATATTGACACCCTGACTCCCTTTCTCCAGCAACATTAAAGCTGTTTGAAGCTGGGTGTGGCTCCTTGTGCTTTTCTGCAGAGCTTTTATTTATTTGCTAAAATAGATAACATATAATCTATTAATATCAAATGAGTGCTTACTTTATAAAGTAAAATATGGTTCAAAATACAGCACACTATTTTGTATTACTAAAATGTGCAAAAGCTCCTTTTGGTGGGGCTAAGTACAAATACAAGTAAGTCCTGGATCTCTCTATTAAAATAACAGACTGTCTAAAATCCCAAAACTAGAGTTTTTATTTTTCAAGAACAGAACACTCTAGAATGTACTGTTTCTTCCTGATGTTGAAAAACAAAAGATTAAAATTAGATTATTTTAGAAGTGAGAAAAAAGTTTCTCCAAGGGACTAACATGAAAGCTGAGAAATATCCAAGAACTAAACACATGTTGTGGGGGACATCTGAAGGGTTCTCCAGATGTCAGGAACAGCATGTGCAAAGGACCAGTGGCAAACAGATCATGGCAAGTCCTAAAACTAAAAATACCACATTGTGTCTGGAGAAGACAAACAGAAAGGAAAGTGGACTCTGAGATGAGGAGGAAGAGATAGCATCAGACTTTTAAGTCTCCCATGGTCTCCTGTGACAGGTTTTATATTGAGTCCTGCAAACAATAGAGGCAACATTCTACCATGGGAGAGATCAGGTTTGCACCCTCAACAGCTCTTCGAATTTGAAAAGAGTGTGGGGAAGGAAGAGTTGAGATTCTGAGAGACTAACTATAGACCTAGTGTCAGAACTCAACTCAAATGAGGATGGCAGAGACTAGAAAAACACTCTAGGCAGCAGAGTGTGGAGGTATGGCTGGGATGCAGGAATGGGAGCTGGCTTAGTTGGCTTTGGGTATACTACTGCAGAACCAAGATCCTATTAAAAAAATTAATAGTGTTATTAATAACGGTGGTGGCTTACAGAGGAGGAAGCCAGCCCATCCAAAAACGTGTAAGGCCAAGTTCCTACTCTTCTCTAGAAAGAAAACCCAAGGGCCAGACTGAGATGGGCTGTTTAGTTTAGTCCCTGGAGAGAAAGTTTGTTTTCACAGATTCAGGTACAGAAACCAGAACAGCAAGAGCTGCTGAAAGAAAACAAAGTAGCCATGGGTGCTGGGCAGAGCAGGACGTGAAACCAAGCGCCAGGCCTGGACATGACCATGCCACCCCTAAAGATGCCCTTATGTTTGAAAGACACCTGGAACTTACATCCACTTGTGAGAAATGAACAAATGCCCTATTTTGAATAAGATCAAGTATCAAATGCACATACAAAATCCCACCTCGTGTATCCAGTAGGATACATTCTGCCACACGGGCTCTTCCCTATAAACTCAGAATGTAGGCCACTAAGAAGACAGGGCTCACTGCCCAGAACAATAGGTTGCCATCTAGTGGCCAATCAACAAGGACCCTTACAGACTGTAAGGTTATACAGCTAAGGGACAGTGAAGAAACCCAGAGGGCTTTCTGGAAAGTGGACATATTTCTACCTCATTTGCATATACAGGATGTTAGTCACAAAATTCAGTGAGTAAAATACTCTTCTAAGTACAGACTGCTTTCCCCACAGCCCCTCAAAACCTGCATCCCTTCACTTAGTCCAAGCTATTTTTCTAGGCCATCATCATAGTTTCATACAAAACAGCTACCATTCTAAACCCTCCCCAAGCTCAAGGCACTTCTAGTTCTAACACACTCCCACTGTGAAATAACCTCCTCAAGAGCCTGTCATTATTACCAAAGGTACCACTACAGTCTCTCCCTGGGGCTCCTCCTCCCTTCCCATTCATACAGGCCACCAATCTGTATGCTGAAATGTTAACCCCCAGGGCAACGGTATTAAAATGTGGGACATCCTGCCCAGTAGATAGTCTCACACCCAGGCACACGGAGAGGAATTAATTAGATTCAGGAGTTATCAGTAATCAAAAAATAATAGTAAGAAAGCGAGGATGTGAAGTTTGGGGGAGATGGGGTGAGGGACACCAGGGGAAGGTGGGAAGAGTAGTGAATTGCTATGATCAGAGTATACTATGTAAATGGTTCATAAGGTTTTGAACAAGTAAATAAACATTATTTTTTAAAATTCTGGAGGTGACTGGGTCATGAAGGTAAAACCTTTATTATGAATGGGATTAATGTCCTTAACAAAGCAGCCTAAAGAAGCTCATCTGTCCTAACCACCCCCTGAGCACACAGCCTTAAGGCAACCCCTGACAAGCCAAATCCAACCTGTCACTAGGTGCCAAAGCCACTGGACCACTGGAGCACTGGTCTCAGGCTTCCCTCCAGAACTGTAAGAAATAAACTTCTGTTTATAAGCAACTCTGTCTCTGGTACTTGCTATAGCAATTTAAATGCATATAAATAAATAAATAAATACAGGTTTGTATCATATACAAATGAGTTCCAACTTGAATCTAAATCATTCATGGGGCATATTTAATAAAATGAAAATTACAAACCTTGCAGTGGTGGTACACACCCTTAATCCCAGCACTGGGGGGGGGGGGGGGGGGGGGGGGGAGAGGCAGGTGCATCTCTGTGAGTTTGAGACCAGCCTGGTCTACACAGCTAGTTCTAGAACAGCATGGGATATTACACAGAAAAACCCTGTCTCAAAAAAACAAAGAAAAAAGAAGAAGAAAATGACCAAGACCTGGGGGAGCAATCTAAACCAGATTTCTAAACAGAAATCTAAAACAGAAGACAAAACAGGTAACAGATAACAGACAAACTACTTTCCACTGGGTACATACAAGGGAGCCCCCCATGATTTTTCCTGTGGACTTGGTAAATGTATCTTACAAACAGGACTTAGTTGATCCACCTACCAGAGTGACTGTATTACTTCTGAACCTTCGAAGTATTATTTCTAAGTCCTGCCCTGAATGGACTTTGTCTTTGTGACAGCTGTACTTGGAATCACCCAGGAAGCAGAACTTTCAGTGCCTGTGAAGGTATTTCCAGAACAGACTGACTCAAGGATGAACCCCCACCCCACATGCTAGGGTCCTGAATGGGACCAAAAAGAAAGAAGGGCAAAGCTAAATGCCTGGCAATGTAGTTCAAATACCTATGGGATGGATTAATGGAGGAATGCAGAAGAGTTTCAAGCCACGGGTTAGCAAAGTCCTAGCATATCATAAGCAGACCTTAATGAGCAATCCTGGCCCAAACTGTAGAAGACTAGAGTGCCAACAGAGAGATATACAGGAATGTCTGCACTCAACAGCCCTTGGCAGGGTGGGGGCAGGGAGACAGAAAAGACACAGACAGCTTTGGGAACTGTACTGGAGACAACCATATTTGCCAAGGAAATGTTCTAAACACCTGAGTGGGGTTGAATTCAAAAGTAATGGTCTATTTTGTCTAACAGAGGAAACTTCAAGACAGGGTAGCTGGGCATTGGTGGCACACACCATTAGTTCCAGCACTCAGGAGGCAGAGGCAGGCGGATCTCTGTGAGTTCCAGACCAGCCTGGCCTACAAAGCAAGTGCCAGGACAGGCTCCAAAGCTACACAGAGAAACCCTGTTTCAAAAAACAAAACAAGACAAAAAAGACAGTGTAATGTTCAAGCTGTGGCATAGTTATTGTTCACTGCATTTATCTACATTTACAGTCAAAAGAGCAGGAGAAAGGAGTGTGAATATGGTTAGAGCTGAAGACAGAAATGAGCCAGTGTGGCCAAAAAGGGGCTTGAACTCTGTTAACAGCGGGGTAAAATAAAGTAAGGCAGGGCTATGACATCTCAAAGCTCACCTCCCAGTTACATAGTTCCTCCAGCAAGGCCATACCTCCTAAATGTTCACCAGCTTGGGGACCAAGTATCAAATACTGGGGCACATTCTCATTCTCTAGTCAGGTCACCGCAATATAAAAGAACAGTGGTTCTCAACCTTCCTAATGCTACGATGTTTTAACACAGTTTCTCCTGTTGGGGTGATCCCAACCATAAATTTATTTTCATTGCTACTTCATAGCTGTAATTTTGCTACTGTTATGAATCATAGTGTAAATATCTATGTTTTCTGATGGTCTTAGGCAACCCTTATGAACAGGTCACTCAACTTGGCCCCCCTCCCCAAGAGGCTGTGACCCACGGGTTGAGAAGCATGAGACAGAATCTTGATCTTGTTCATGGGTTTTCTTTACCCAGGCTATGGCACTTGGCATATCAGTATCATTCAAATGTTTCCTAACTAACATAGCTAGGCTGCATTGGAAGGATCTTAAAAACTTGAAATTGCAGTAATTCTATCCTAAATGATTACCTCCATCTTGGATAAGGAAACCAGTCTCCAAATTTTACACCACAAAAGGGGGGGGCATGCATATCAGCGAAGCCTGAATTTCTAGAATTAGGTCATAGCCACCTTTAAGAACCCACCTGTCGCCACCAACTACACCACACTGCATGATACCACAGAAGAGAACTCACAACTAAGAGCTTCATGGGCTCCTTGTCCCTTTAGGATGGAGACACAGACCTCTTCCAGAAAGTGTAGCACTTAGCACACAGTCAAGCCCTGGCATGAATAAGAAATTTTGTAAAGATGAATGTCTGAGAGAGCCTGAGACTACATAGAAAAGGGCATAGTAGCCTCTAGGTACAAATGAAACTGGACCTAAAAGATGGTTATGCTGCCCCTCAAGCCTTAAAGCCACATCTTGACATGGCCATGCATTCATGTCACAGGGACACTTAAAAAAGAACAGCTATGAGGTAATCTTTTCAGAAGGCAAGGAAAATGATAGTCAGCAGGCTTCAAAATCCTAAGGCAGCATTCTCCAATATGACAGACGGAGGCTCCCACCCCAAAACTGTAGTGCGCACAGGCAATGAATGTGCGCTTGTAAAAGGATGGTAACTCCCGCCTAACAGTCCTCCACCACAGACAATGCTAGAGAGGAGGGATGTGAGTTAAGAACCAAACGTCTTGGCTTTTCTTCCCAGCTCTACTTTCACGAGTCACATATAGTTCTCCTTCAGCCCCCAGGTTCCTCATTTGGCCATATTCAAAGTAAAGCCAGGCATGTCTTTTTCACACCAGGTTCAGATGGGAAAGCAGCCAAGAGAGGGAATGAGTTATCAAGGCACAATACGCAGTGCAGGTTGGTATCAATAGGGACATCGACAGCGAAAGCTGACAAACCCACTGTGGTTTAAAGACAATCATGGAACCATTTCTATTCCAATTTTAATCCAATAAAACTAAGGTCTGTTATTCCTAGTTAAGGAGAAGAGAAAAAGATGAAACATTCCTGGTTCTTAGACCAAAGCCATCCTTCATCTTGAAGGATGGGTTGTTGTTCCCCTTTCCAACTTCTTCCTTCCTATCTAGTAAAGTAATTTGTCTTTTTGAATGAAACTCTAAGCAAGTGTACACCTGCACACACGCGCACACACACACACACGCACACGCACACGCACACGCACACGCACACGCACACGCACACGCACACGCACACGCACA